TGCTGGTTGCTGTTACGCACTACTACTACTACTACTACTCGCTGGCTGTTGTGATGTTGATGTGTTATTACTGCGCGCTGTCTGTTGCTGTTTACTGGCTGCTGCTGACTGACTAACTGCTGCTGCTGCAGTGAGTGAATGAGGCGCTAATGTAAAGCAGTCAACGCTAATGAGTATGAAGCGCAAAACTGCTTCCTCGTAGATACAAGCAGGCGCACGAAACCGCGAGTGCCCGCGTTGGGTTATGAAGCGGCTTAATATGTTGCCAACACATCAACGACTGTCATAATATACACTATATTATGAGGTGCTATTATATGAGTCTATATATTATGGACACTCTGAACACATTGAGTTTGTTCCATAACCCAGTTTTTTGTCAGTCTCTCAAGTAATGCGAGTTATTGAGACAGTTTCCCCTCGTATGAAACAACTTCCTTCTCAGGTCACTACACTACACTCGACCAGGCCAGCTGCAGCAGCACAGGCACCTGGTACCGTGTGGTTGAAAGCCTTCCAGTCGCAAAGCCTTCGCATTGAGAAGCCAATCCAGTCTAGCAGGCTCGGTAAATAGGGGCATTCTAGGAAGATTTCCAATTGTCTGGTCCTAATATATGAACAACTACGTACGAATATTGATTTCCGCAGAGAGCGAGCATACACGTACTGAGACAGAGTCCAGCTTCCTTCGTCCGGCAAGCTGTCGTACATCTTCCAACATAATGTCAATCTTGTTCCTAAACAAAGACGAGAGAATTGCCACGCATGTGCAAGATAACAACCATCCCTGCAACCAGAAGATGGCCAACACATATTTAAGCTGCAATCTGTAGTTTTCTGGCCATCAAAATTAGTAGTTGGACGGTCACGTAGTGATCCGAGTTGGCTAGGGGGGTCCTGGCATGCCCCCCCCCGGAAAATTTTTTGATTCTGGAGATGCAAATTTTCCTGCGATTCTGTAGGGTCGAAAATGACAAATAATGAACACAAAAAATTCCGATCAGCAGTAAAATTGCTAGTTTGAAGTACATAACTGTGCGAGTGGTGCAAATAGGAATATAATACGACGATAAATCGTAGTGGGTTGGCAATCCTCTCGTCATACAACATCATAAGCATTTTTCACTTCGTCATGGAAAATGCATTATATACCATCATGATGAAATATTCAAACAGATATTCACAGCACATCTACAGTAAAGTTAAGCTATCTAAAAGTAAACTCTAAGGTATACTCTAAGGTATCTACAAGTAAAGGTATAAAAATATTGTATACCATCTTGTGTGTAAATCGGGTGACAATTCGATGTAAAAACATAGAAGAAATGCGAAAATTCCAGGCACAGCGGCCGGCGAAGATCTATTGTTATCAAGGCAGCGTTGAATCGTGTTTAAAACGTCACTAGACTGACTCCTTCAGTCCTCTCAGCATCATTCAGCTTAGCCCCAGGCCAGCTAGCTTCTGCAATCGTGACGCGGTTGTCACAAATCTCTCCGAGATGCTGTACATACGATGATGATAGTGACTTGCTCAAGAAGCAAAACCCAAGGATGTACACACACGTAATATGTCGGCACACTATGCAGCACTAGCAATAGTATATTCAATGCATTGCAAGTGAATCGCGAATGGCCCATTTTCGCGCCACTTTTGCCGCCCGCGGTCGCGTTTTATACCGTCTCGGCATGAAAAGAGACGGCAGTGCGGTCTGAACGCGGACAGTAAACGCTGATTTTTTCTCTCCTTCCCGGAGAAACTTCACCGAGGCCGACATATCGCGTCATTATGCAATCTGTTAAAATAGCAATATATATACATATATGATATATATTATATATATATGTATATATATATCAATCTTATATATCTCGTGCCACTCACCTGAGTCCCTTAATGACGCTATCGAAGATGATGAGTGTACGCTGAGGTCGGGGCACCTTCGGCAGTTTGGGAGCACTGCGCGTGAAACTCCAGCCCTTGCGCGAACCGCCATGGCTGGCCTTACGACTCATGCCTGGACTGTACAGGTCACCATCTGAACAACAAGTAAACACACGACTATTAAGGCCTTGGGCAAATACGCCCAACAGGGAAGCTACACAATGAGACTGTAATGGGAAGCTACTTAGAGAGAGAGAGAGAGAGAGAGAGAGAGAGAGAGAGAGAGAGAGAGAGAGATGAGAGAGATGAGAGAGAGAGAGAGAGAGAGAGAAAGAGAGAGAGAGAGAGGGTGGATGGAATGGATGAAAGGATGGAAGGATGAGAAGGAAAGAAATAAGCACAGATCCATGCGACGGATGTGTCAAAGTGTAACTGTGATAAAACTCTGAGCGAACGCTGGAGTGTATTAGGCTTTCCTCAATAATGGGGCGCAGTAATCAACTCCTACGTATGTCGGGCTGCATGAAGTTATTATTGATAACAATAATAATGTAACGGTGGAACCAGTTAGCTATTTAAAAAAATACCTGATTTTATATTAGCAGTAATATACAGAAAACAGTTAAAAAATAAATCGCTTTCGTTAAATTTCAGAGGTAGAAGCATGCGCAATTAATAAGTGTATAAGGTGCTAAACTCTCTTTTCTTAGTTCCTTCTCTGCCTCTGGAGAATATGCGAAAAACTAATCAACGGGTCAATAAATATTTTAATAACGTGCTGAAACTAATCCAGGCTAGCCGGCAACCGCAAAGAGGTCAGAAGGGCCGCATGTTGACATCCGGTACATAGTAACCGTCCCATGTATGATTAAGTCGCCTAGCGTATGATTAGCACAGCGTATGATTAGTTATGAGCGAATCAATACCGGATGTCATTAAATGTAGAGTGTATAATCTATGTTTATACACTCCTGATAAATGTAATTAAAATGCATTAGGAATTTACAATGCATATGACCAACACAGAACATGTATATACAATTTAGCAATCCACGACGAACTGACGTGATAAGCAGCACGATCCCCCCGGCACACAAACACAGGCATCACCGAGGTAGTTCCGACCCGACATGCCCTAGTAAATAAACTATCCGAAATAATAAGCACTAAAAACATAATAATCGCAACAGAAGATCTGCAAAATCAACTGCTACACCAACGCAACCACACGATTATCACCTCACCAATGTTGAGAGACCTAGAAATTGAACACCGAATTAAATATAACATCCAATTGCTTTGCCGAACGAACGATGGGACAGTGGGAGTATTTAAAGCGAATGTAGTAAGAAGTGGCGAAAACAGCAGACAGTTTAAAAGCTCATCCATCACACGGTACGTGCCGGGGCAGCAACAGCAGCTAATAGTTAACTCTATGCAGGCCTACTACTGCAGGCCAGTAGCATACTGCAAGGCCCTAGCTCTGTAAGATTCTCCCTAGCACACTCCATCATTAGTTAATGCATGTGACTAACGCCCGTAGTTAGAACTGGCTCCCCGTCGACCGACCGTGATCTCTAACGAAGCAAACAGACGTGGGTACCCGTCTAAGACGTATAGGCGGCACACGAGGAGATAGGAGCTATCGGCTCCGGCCACACGTGCACACCACAGGCCTCACAGTACCGATGATAAATACCCCACCCCTTTAACCCTAGTGTTTTTTATGCACCTCTAATCTATCTTATCTCTCAGTCGCTACCCTATCTACGCACGCTTGCGATTAGATTAAGCGACTAAAAAAACGGTATAGGAAACACACACGCACACGCGCTGAGATACGTCATAAGTCGCCTAAGTGCAGTGATGTGATGACCCGGTCTATCTATACATATGATCAAGAGCTATTATAAGGTATTATTAGCTCTTGATATGATCACGAGTACATAATAGGATAAAGAGTAATGACACCCGGTTTTAACAGCGTTTTGCATAGTTTTCAACTCTTGTGGATATTCTATCAATATGTGAATAAATATATTCACAACTTTACCTTGTGTTCGTCTATGATTCTCCCTTAATCATATGACACCACCAATTTACCTGAAAATCGTATGTTTTTCCCAAATATATATGTTTGTTTATTATATACAAAGTTGAAAATCTATGCAAAACGCTGTTAAAACGGTGTCATACTCTTCCTATTATGTACTCTTGATATAGTTACTCTTCCTTGTTTACAGTTACTAGTCATTACGCATTTACCTGGGATCATTCGCGTACAAATACAAGCGCCTAGAGCAACTGGTATCGACGTGCCGTCTGGTTATGCCACGTTACTGCGTGTTGCAAGTGGCATACATCCACGGAACACTCACAGCACCACGCGACGCACAAGCACACGCACACGCGCAACCGCGCTACCGCACAACACACACACACACAACATACACATACACAACACACACACACACACACAACACACACACCACACACAACACCACACACACACACACACGACAACAAACAGACACACACACTATGCAACACACACACACACACACACACCACACACACACACACACAACACATGCACAGCTTCCGTCGACACCGGTATCATAAATGCCTAATATCCACCCACCCTCACTTCATAACCACTAGATCAATACAAGCGAAACCACACGTAATAGCCAGCCGAGGAGGAATCACTGTATCACACGGTTGGTTGTTATTCCTGCAGCTGCTGCTGCTGCTGCTGCTGAAGCTGCTTCCGCTGCTGCTGGTACTGATACTGATACTGCTGCAACTGATGCGTTGTTGTTGTTGTTGTTGTTGTTATTGTTATTGCTACTGCAGTTGTTGTTGTTGCTTTTGTTCTTGTTATCATTGTTCTTGTTTTTTTTTCTGCCGCCACTACCGCCGCCGCCACCGCCTACTACCACCACCACTACCACCACCACTACTACTACTATTGATTCTGCTACTGCTGTCGCTGAAGGTGAAGTAAAACCACAGCAGCGTGCAGCGTGCACATCCGGACATCGCGTCCTCTCCTGTCTCTCAGATTTCCTTACTACCTTCTGGCAGCTCGATAGCTAGCCGCACGTAAGCATAGTTGAACCGTCGGAACTGCGCACACACGCCGTGTATGGATGGCCATCGTACTCAGAAAATAATGTTTTCTGAGTACGATGGCCAACCATGGCCGTGTCTTCACATAGTGGGGACAAGACACAAGACACAGCTCATACATAGTTGGACCTGACTGCAGCGTACACAGGACCGTGTCTTTCAAATAGCGGCCGGGCGGGGGGGGGGCAAGACACAGCTCATAGTCATAGATTGGCCTGACTGCACGCGTACACACCCGTGTCTTCACATAGCGGGGGGGGGGGCAAGACACAGATCATACATAGTTGGACCTGACTGCAGCGTACACACCCGTGTCTTCACATAGCGGGGCCAAGGCACAGCTCATACATAGTTGGACCTGACTGCAGCGTACACACCCGTGTCTTCACATAGCGCGGGGGGGGGGGGGCGGCAAGACACAGCTCATACATAGTTGGACCTGACTGCAGCGTACACACCCGTGTCTTCACATAGCGCGGGGGGCAAGACAACTCATAACATAGTTGAAACCTGACTGCAGGCGTACAGACACCCCGTGTCTTCACTTAGTAGAGACGGGTGAGCGCGGGGGCAAGCACTATCAGCTCATACATAGTTGAACCGACGCAGCGTACACACCCTTGTCTTCACATAGCGCGCGGAGGGGGGGGGCAGACACGGTCATACGTAGTTGAAACCTGACTGCAGCGCACACCCTTGTCCTTTTCAACATAGCGCGGGGCAAGCACATCAAATCATAACGTGTGCGGTGAGAGAGAGAGAGAGAGAGAGAGAGAGAGAGAGAGAGAGAGAGAGAGAGAGAGAGAGAGAGAGAGAGAGAGAGAGAGAGAGAGAGAGAGAGCGAGAGAGAGAGAGAGAGAGAGAGAGAGAGAGAGAGAGTGAGAGAGAGGAGAGAGGACTCCTCTTCCTGTCAGCTTCCCAACAGAGGTTAGAGAGGGGCCCGGCCGCCTGTGCTGCTGCTGGCGGTGAGAGAGAGAGAGAGAGAGAGAGAGAGAGAGAGAGAGAGAGAGAGAGAGAGAGAGAGAGAGAGAGAGAGAGAGAGAGAGAGAGAGAGAGAGCCGCGGGGAGGAGAGAGGACCACTCCTCCTCCTGTCATCTTCCCAACAGGGAAGGACTTTGTTTACGACATCGGAGCCATGCAGGAAACGTGCGATTGTGCATATTGCGCGGGCGCACTAGTGTTTGGTTACGTTCTGTAGTCACAGCCACAGTCACAGCACGAGAACGATTCAAGAACGGATGCGGCGGCGCGTTGTTACCATAACAACATGCACTGCCTCCTTCAACCACTTGCCTCCGATTTACCCCCCCCCCCACCACCACCCCTAAACACAACCCCGCCGTGCCACACGCGACGTACGAGCAAGAACTACGCGTGCATCACGCCCCGTACACGTAACCATCAGTAAAAAGTCCGCGCTAACAGGTGATACCCAATTTGTCTGCACTTGTGCAATTTTCCGATTTATTCGTGAGATAGTAGTTTTAAGCCCACACAAGCATCGCACGTACATTCGCGGTTTGAACCACTCACTACGTACGACGAGCGAGGAGATACGAAATAATTACTGTATTTCCTTCTGCCGTTACTGGAGCCCAGCACGGGGAAGCGGACGGGATTCATTCTGCTGCTGTCGTCCTGGTTACTCGTCATCCGGTGAACAGCATCAGCAGCAGCACAGCGACAGTAGCCGCCCGAGCGAACGTAATATCTGCAGATCTTCATCGCACGTAGTTTCATATTGAATATTGATCACTGAATATTTATGACATACACCGCATAGAGCAGATCACAGACACAGCAAGCAGTTCACGGAGTCACACACTACACGGGCGGGCGGGCGGCGTCGCTCATACGCAATGTTCCTGTCACCGTGTTTTTTCGGACGTCGTAGAATGAATGTCACACGGTTTTTCATACAGCATCATTTGATCACTTCTGAGTTACCACGCGTCGCGTTTCTGTGGCTCGCGTTTCTGTCGCGTTCTGGTGGGTGCTGGCTGGCTGATTGCTATCTAGCT